TTTTTTTGCTGGGACCTTCCTTGGTCCCTGCACGGCCTGGCCACCCGGGACCCGGGCGGCCTGGCTAACAAAAATATCAGAAAAATCTGAAAAAAATATATGTCAATAATCAATAATGGTATGTCAAATTACCAAATAATAATACAAACAACTTTTGCCTGGGAGGTATGCTGAAATCCGTAATGAAACTCGAGTTAAAAATCATAAACCAAAACAAAAACTTGAAAAAAATCTTCTTCTTTTTTTTTTTTTTTTTTTTTTTGAGTATATTCGGCCGGACACGTTCAGGCGGCCTTCGGCCGAACACCCGAACATGTTCGGATGTTTGGAAAAGCTCCGAACATGTTCGGTGTGCTACACAGGTAATGAATGCTAATGATTAATGAATTTGAAGATCAACAATTGCCATTGTTATTTTTCAGTTATAAACTAAATTCTATATGTTTTTTATAAATTCAATAGGATCTTTGGGTGTCAACTACCGCCGCTTAGGAGAGTGCACGCATCGCAGATCTGTTGGAGAGTGCAACCCTTTTAGTGTGTCGAATACCCCTTATCTGAGCCCCCTTAGCTCCCTCCTTTGGACATGGGTAGTGTAACCCCCTTAGGATGGATGATATTGCAAATCTGTGGGAGGGCGCGCTCCCGATCCATTGTCAGAGCATTTAGACGCCCGCATTAATAACACATCAAGGCAGAGTTTCACTTAGGATAGAGATTGGGCAGTTTGAAAGATGGGGGGTCGACATTTGACAGGAACTTCCCCTGACGGTGCCAGCCAGAGATTCAACAGAACTTTTCTGAAATAGTCGACAGGTGGAGATGCCATGGAAACTTCCCAAAGATGCAGCCAAGATCGGAGAGAGAGAGACTCCCGAAGATGGATATGGTTGTGGGTTGGAGATCTTCGTTGGGTTGGTGTGGGTATACATGCACCCAGTGGTCCTGTTGATCATTGCAGTGTTGTTCCAATAGTTCTGCGAGTCCTTCATGACTTCCTGTTTCTGTATAATAGAATGAGTCAATAGACTGCATTCAGCACCACCAGCACTGACACGGAAGTGTTTAAAAAAAAAGAAGAAAAAAAGACTGCATATTCATATGTTTTTTGGTGGAAGCATCCAGTGTGCTGTACCATGTGGCCAGCTTTAAACCGGAAATGGTGTGTACTATGTGGCAGCTTCAAATGGGAAATGGTGTGTTCGCACTGTTCGAAGTATGTGGTGGCGACCGTAAACGACCCTGGAAAGAGCCGTCGCCCCTGGAAAGAGCCGTCGCCTTTGGCTCTAGTATGCTCAGTGGCGGTTCAAGACTACTTGTGTAAATTAGTAATTAGTAATTTTCTGAATTTGAAAAATTTTGATTATTTTCAGCCGAAACCGGGAAATGGGCCCGGTACCTTCATATGTTTTCTGTTTCTCATGAGGGGCACTTGGCCCGGTTCCCAGTACATGTTGCTCTCCATGAAACGATCGGAGCAGCGTCCTCTCGAAAAGGTGGGGGGGGGAATGAAAAAAAAAAGGACTCCCAAAGATGGAGGCAGAGATTATGCAGAAACATCCAAAGATGTCGTAGCGAGTCGTCAGAACCGGTCTATGGGGCGGTGTATATTGTCATCAGAAAACTTCCAGAGATGTATATTTGAGAGCTTCGAAGCATAGTGGATTCTTGGGCATACGGCTCAGGTGAATTCAGCATCCGCAGTCCGCAAAGATCGTACACCGTCGGTGTAACAGAGAGACACACGCATCATAAACACACCAGGCTACTCTGCTAACGAACAAACCAACCAGAGTAAATGCAAGGGGTGATGATAAGAGCAGACAGCGCTAGCATACTCGGGGATGCTCTTTGTTTTTTGGTGGGGAGCAACTTCTGAAAGGGGTGCCCCCTTGTAGTGTACGTGTGACGCGGGCGTGACAGCGAGAGACGCATCACAAACACACCAGCGTGCGACGTCGGGGTCACTCAGAGACACAGGCGTCGATAACACAAAGATGCTGGGCTGCTAAGGATATGGCACATCTGAATGGTGCCAAGTTGTACTCGGGAGGTTAAGGAGACCACGAGGAGAGGAACACAAGCAACACATGGTGAACTGCCATCACAATCACACCAACACAACCAATATCTAGTTCATGAAAAGTAGAGAAAAAGTTCATAAAAAGTAGAGAAAAAAAAAAAAAAAAAAAAACTGGCATCACAATCACACCACCAATACCTAGTTCATAAAAAGTTCAAAAGAACAAAAAAAAAAAATTGTTCGCACAAATTATGTGTTGGTCACTGTCACAAAAATGTCCTCAAAAAACAACTTTTCCCGATGCGTAACGGAACAGATGCAACACAAAAAAACAAGCTCCACTTGTTTTTGCGCACACGGGAATAAGACATCGACAAATGCAAGAAAAGCAGGCTCGTTAAATCATCAGTATAAGTATTTGTGAAGAGTTCAAATGAGCCTCTGTGAAAAGGTAAAGGGGAACCGGGACAGGGCCCGTGTACGGGCAGGCTGGGCCTATGCCGCCGCACGACATTTTTCCAATGGCCTGTAAGATGCCCTATCTATCGCGGGCCTTCAAAATTCTAGTTGAGGCTCAGCTAGATTTGCAACTTGGCTCAGGCCATGTACTGGTGGTGTAAACAATATGCTTAGTGAGGGCAAAAGCAACGAGCAAACATATTAGTAATCAATCTTCGTGGTCGCCTTCATATTGCACTGCAGCGAAAGTGTGGCGCGGCCTATTTTCCGGAAAAGGAAAGAAGGAAAAACAATGATAAATAAAAGCAAATATAAATGAGGAATAATTTCCCCCTAACAAATAATGTAGTTACAACATGCCTGAAGGAGCACCAACAGTACCATGAATCCGCGATTTCTATGTTCATTTTGCAAAGACCGAAGCCTGGCCCCCAGCTCCTCCCAATGAGGAAGGGTAGCACATCATATTCCAGGCCACCGTCTTAAGGCAGTGCAGGTGTACTGCCGAAAGGCGGGGTGGAACAACCCGCTCGGACGAGGCGGTGTTGTCGGGGAGATGGCGATGGCTGGGAAGATGGCGGTGACGATGGGAAAAACGGAGGCATCAGCGGGGGAGATGTAAGCATTGTGGCCATCCCCGTCAGCTCTTCAATCTCCTCCTGCTACCATCTTCCCTGCTGCCACCTCCATCTCCCACCGCCTCCATCTTCATCGCCATGACCAAGCTGCTCTCCTGTGGGCTGTAGCCTTTGCTGCTTCCTGCCCTCTGCCATCGCCTTCCACTGCTTTCCGTTGTGCACCTCTTGCCGCTGTGTGCCACTTCCCACCGTGAGCCGCTTCCCGCCCTCCGCCCTTCGCTTTCCGCCCTTCACTGCTTCCTGTCATGCACCTCTTGCCACTGTGTGCCGCTTCCCACCGTGAGCCGCTTCCCACCCTCCGCCCTTCACTCTCTGCCCTCGGCCATCCTCCGCCATCATCCGTCGACTTTCGTTACCGAATGGATTTGATGACGTAATCGATCCGATTTCAAAATCAAGTCATGCAGGGGAAAAAACTCGTTTGTGCCGCACAATTTTGCAATCAGATCGATTATGTTATCGAATGGATTATGGCGGAGGGTAACGGGCGATGGCGGAGGGCGGCGGGTGGATGGAGGAGGTGGAGGGCGGAAAGCGACCGAAGGTGGGAAGCGGCGGAGGGCGGGAAGTGGCAAAGGAGAGGAAGCGGTGGAGCTTAGAGGGTGATGGCAGAGGGTGGAGGGCGATGGCGGAGGGTGGGAAGCGGAGGAGGGCGGGAAGCTAGCGCTGCATGCCCTCTGCCCTCTGCCATCCACTCGCCGCCCTCCGCCATCGCCTTATGTCCCGCGTTACTGCCCTCTGATTTCCACCACTTCCCGCCGTCCGCCATTTCCTGCCTGCCACCGCCTCCTGCCGCTTCCCGCCCTCTGCCCTCTGTCATCCATCCGCTGCCCTGCACCACCCTCTGCCATCGCCCATTGCCATCCGCTGTAATGGCCACCGTCGTCGCCACCAACATTGCTACCGATATTGCCACATCAAATGTCACCACCACCACAGTCTTCGCTCTCATCGTCTCCGTCACTGTTGCCATCACCATCACCACCGCCTTCGCCACCATTGCCACCACCTTCGCCATCATCTTCTCCGTTGCCTCGCCGCCATCACGACCACCACTGCCGCCATCGACACCACCGCCGCCATTGCCTGCGCCTCCACCCCTGTTGCCTCCTTCTTCTCTGCCGCCACCATAGAAATCACCGCAGTTGCACAATTGATTTGACTATGCAAATGCATGGATTGCACAGGCGGGGGGGGTGGGAGGAGGAGGAGAGGGGGGAACTTGAAACAAGGCCCTCCCAAAAATCCGAAAATTTAATATGTTATGCAGCATCTCAATACAAGCAACATTTGCGTGAGCGCCATCCCTAAATTCGTAAACGAAAAACGAGCAAGTGGGTTTGAGGTGCTTTCTTTTTCTACCCGCTGGTTGTCTTTCGTTTCTTTTTTTCCCCTCAAGATTTGAATAAGAATTTTGGGATGGTGCTTAGGCTGAAATGTTGCACCACATATAGTGTTTTCGGATTTGTTTGGAGGGTTTGTGTGTTTTACAGATTTTTATTTTTTTTTTTTTTTTGGCCTTTGCAAAACAAGAAACATTACGTAATCGATTTCTATTTGGGCCTTTGCAAAACCAGAAACATTACGTAATCGATTTCTATTTGGCATACTCATGGATGTCCTCCAAAGCTTTCGAATAACTACTTTCCTTTTGACGTTTGTCCAAGTTTTTGGAATAACTGTTTTGCTGTTGATGGTCGTCCACCTATCGTTCTTCAATTTGATGGAAACGTGATTTTGGTATCTTGCAATGGGCACATGAATCTTAGGTTTGCTTGCATTATCCCGGAAACCTGTTTTCTGTTATGTTGTTGTCACGAAGTTACAGCACGTGCTGGGAACCGGGCCCAGTGTAAACGAATCTTATCTCTAACTGCATTCCCCATTCTTTATTTATCACCATCCTCATCCTCCGGTTTCTCCCCCTTCCCCCTTTTCCATATCACTGTTGCCCTTCTGCCCCCTTCTTCACCCCCCCAGCCAATCTTCGTTGAAGTTTTTTGGGAGTGTTTGGATTTCTTTTTGGGGGTCGATAAATGTCAGCTTCTCTTTTGTCAAGTCCCATTGTATCGTTATCTCTGTTTGAATGTGCTGCCTGATTGAGTCTATAAACTATGGCTCAGTTGACTTCCATTGCCATCGTGCAGCGGCGCCACCATATGGTCCCTATTTTAAACATATTGAGTTCGTAGTCACTCGGGTGGTCTGGGTGCGCCAGGTCTCCAGATCTCGCAGATTAGAGCTCCCCAGTCCCGGGGGCATTGCGTGGAGACCCCTAGCTGGCATGAGATTCGATCGCATCACCTCCAGAGCCATACCGAGCCTGGGCACTGAAGGAAGATGTGCTCTATCGTCTCCAGGCATTTTCTTGATGGGTAGGCCGCGTTGCTGAGCTTGCACCACGGCAGAGCAAGCCTCTTTTGTTCGAGATGGGTGTGGTCTATCGACCAATCGTTTGTTGGCACACATTTATCATTCAAGGGAGACCAGCTTGGCTGGTTGGAATTTGCTATGTTTAAGTTTAAACCATTGTATTCCTTTCAGGGTCTCTTTTGCCATATTCAGGGCATACTCACACTAGCGTTTTTTTTTGCTAAATTGCAAAATCTGCTATGCTGTTATAGTCACACTAGGGTTTTCCAACCACCAAAATTGCAAATGGGGTAGCATTTGTCAGCGGCCTGGGGGGCCGTGGGGATGGGCATTTTGCTACCACCTTGAGAGGTGGTCGCAAAATTATCTTTTGGCCGTGACAAATTCTCTTTTGCCTTTTGGGAATTCGTAAAAGAAAATTTCCGTGTTTTGTGACCATGCGAGGCACCGATTTTGCAATTGCCAGAGAGTCCAGCTCGGCGCTCGTGTCCTTTCCGATTTGCGACCTATGTGTGACCGGGCGGGGTATGATTTCAGCAAACATGGGAAAGAAAATTCAGCAGATTTTGCTAGACTGCCACCGCTCTGTGAGTACGCCCTCAGATGTCTCATCCAGCGAGATTCAATTCTGTCTAATCCAGCGAGATTCAATTCTGTCTAATCCAGCGAGATTCAATTCCGTCTCGCAGCAGGTCGAGTTCTGGACATAGCAGCGGGTAAGTGGCTTAGGGCGTCAGGGAGTGCAAATGGTTCTGATGGGCGGTCCTCCATGGGTTGGGTATTGTCCAGGCCAGTGGGTTCGGGTCACACACTAGGTGGGAGACATGGGGGTTTGGCTGGTAGGCAATCCATTTTTCCTTTTTCTTTAGGACCCATATCCTGAAGACTTCCATCGGTGGGAACCACAGGTCCTCAGCCGGGAGAATCCTGGTTAAGTGATGCTTGTTTTGCAGCCTGAAGCAGCTGACCAAGACTTCTCCATCAGGATGGAAGTCTACTATATTGTGGACTGTGTCGTTGCGGTCCCGAAGTGCGACCCAGTCTCTCTCCTTGAGTTGTGGACCTTGACCACAGTATCCGAACTCAATCTAATGGGACCGCATCTATGATTGTTTCTAGTGCTTCCCCCGGGTTATGACAGTATTTCAGCTTGGTTCTCAGTTGGGCTGCCGTGACCCAATCTTTCTATTCCAGTGTTTCCTACTCTCAGAACCCCGTTTTTGGCCCACCCTTGCCATGGATCCTCTATGCAGAGGAAGAGACTCCCATGGGGGTTGGTGAGCCGTGTGTTGCCGTACAGCGGCTGCCGATACACCTCTTCGCACCTTGTGGGGGGGATTTTGTTCGGGAGGGGGAGTCTACGCTGGTTTTAAACTTGTCGGTCTGAGTCGTGGGACTGGGTTTGAAACAGGTTGATCCAAAAAGTGTCATTTCTCAAGTCTTCCCTCGCCACTTATTGGTCTGAGTCGTGGGACTGGGTGGAGCACCGCGGGATAACCCAATAGCGGTTTCATCTACATTGTAGGATTTCTGCCTTTGGGAACTGTAGTGATTAGTCGTGTGATCTGCTCCAGTGCCAACGGTCGCCATGGAGCTTGTGGGTTCATCAAAAGGGTTTTCATCCATTGTATGGCCAGGGCCATCACTTGGGTGCTTGGGTTTTGGCTGGATTACCAATTGTCAGGCTACCCGACTGATGACGTTCTGACATTCATGATTCCCCCATAGGTAGGCTGCTACCTCACGTTGAAGGGATCGCGTATCTTCTTTGTCGAGTGCCCAGAGGGCTGACCGATACCACAAGGCAGTCAAGATCACGTTGTTGATGACTGGAGATCAGCCAAACAGCGAGGTGTGTCTGTCCTTCCACTGGGCCATCTTTTTTACTACCGGGTTGATCATCCATACATCATTGGTTGTTGTTTTGCATCCTTTGCAGAGGTTGACATTGGGTGGCCGTGACCCGACCCGACCGTACCCAGCCGTACCCGACAGTTCTGGACGGGTGCGGGTATGGCATGATTCGTATGCACTGGGGCAGTTGGGTCTGGAAATATGAGGGGGGGATATGGCTGGGCCACGAAACTGTAGGGTGGGTGGGGCTGGGTGTTGACACAGTGCCTGGACGGTTACGGCAGGGCAAAGGTTTGCCCTGGTTCCGGGTACGGCTGGGTAGAGGTTTTGCGCGGGTGACCCGAGGCCTGTAGGAATACTAGGCATATTAGGCAAGCCTTGGTCGTATTAGGGCCGGGCCTGACCCTTCTTCTTCACTGGGAAATAGTGGTGCCAGTGGGGCGTGCCCCTAGTATAAATTTGTCTCTGGCCATCTGTCATTCGTCTGGCCAGGCCGTACTAGGGCCAGACCGTACTATTAATTCGGCCTGGCCCCAGTCGTTTCATCCTAGGGAATGCGGCATTCACCAATAAGCTCTGGCCATAATTGTTTGTCTGATCCATCGAAATCTGGCTGTAGTTGCGGCCAAATGTAGACAAGAAAGTATCAACGTGAGTATCCCCAGTCGCTGGCCCATTGTCGGCGCCAAAATTCAAAGCCGAAATTTGTGGATGGAAGCTAAAGAATCGGACATGCAAAGGCCTTAGTTTTAAATAAAGATAAAAGGGAAAACTAAGCCTGGGTGGAAAGTTTTGGGCACAGGTACGGCTGGGCACGGGTGGATGGATATTGGGTTCAGGTGCGGCGGGATGCGGGTGAATGAAAATTTGGCCTGGGTGTGGCTGGGTATGGGTAGACAATTTTTAAATCAACATGGGTGGGCTGGGTATGGGTAGAAAAAACATTAAATTCGCGTGGGTGGGCTAGGTCTGGGTAAAAAAATTGTGTTTATATGGGTCCGGCTAGATATGATACATCAAGGCTTGGGCTGGGTCGAATATGGGTAGGAAAAAAAATGGTCCTTCGACCTCTGATCCTTTGGGTTTTGGCTGGATTACCGATTGTCAAGCTACCCGACTGATGACGTTCTAACATTCATGATTCCCCCTCTATAGGTAGGCTGCTACCTCACGTTGAAGTGATTGTGTACCTTCTTTGTTGAGTGCCCAGAGGGCTGACCGATACCACAAGGCAGTCGAGATCACGTTGTTAATGACAAGAGATCGACCTAACAACGAGGTGTATTTATCCTTCCACTGGGCCATCTTTGTTATTACGGGGTTGATTATCCATGCACCATTTGTTGTGGTCTTGCCTCCTGCATGGATACCCCCAGCACCCTGATCAAGGTCTCCAAGGGCATCCAGTTTATCCGTGGGTTTTCTAGAGGTCTTCGTCCTTGGTAGTGAACCGACCAGCCCAGCGTCTGGTTACCCCAATTGGCATTCATACGTGAGAGCTTATAGAAACGGTTCATCAATACATGGATCTCCTTGAGGTTCTTTGGGGATGCTTCCACCATCAGTGTAAGGTCATTCGCAAAAAAGGAGCAAATGGGGATCCCTTCCTTCGAGATTGAGGTAACTCTGATCTTTTGTATTTTTTTGTGAGGTCCCAAGTTGACTGTCATCGCTTCAACAACAATCACAAAGATGAAAGGTGCAATTGGGTCTCGTTATCGTACAAAGTTTGTATTTAGTTGATAACGTAAGACCACATGAAGACCACAATAAGTGTACAATACGACTCCGGCCCGCCAGGGGAGCCGCAAAGGAGTTGTAGTTGAAAATGGTACGGGTTTTTGCATTGTAAAATGCAAGTATATTTGCGTGGTCCATCGGGATCATAATTCTTATTGGCATAGGAAGGATACAACCTTCAAAAGTGCGTCTTACAAATCCATACTTCTTAAGTCGTTCTACAAGCTCCTTGATAGGGGCTCGGCGGAGAATGAATCTCGGGTGTATCCTTCTTCGGTATACTTTTCCTTTCGCTTCGCGTCTAACCCAAGAGACTTGATTTTGTGCCTGGGTAAGTTTTCACCCATCTATGGAAGCAAAGGCCAAAATTTAGTTTTTCCAAACATTTGTCTGGAAAAAAAGACAGTCCACTTGATCATATTCTTTCTCGAAGTCTATAAATATAATAGTTGCATTATGCTTGGAATGTCTAGGAAGTTTGATAATCTTGTTTATCACAAGAATATTGTCTTGGATTTTCCTCTCTTTAATGAACCATGTTTGAAACGGGTGGATGATATCCGCCATCACCTTGATCATGCGGTTGGCGAGGGTCTTTCCTACCAGTTTCTACACTAGTGTCAGGAGTGTTATAGGGTGGTAGTTTCGGATGTACATTTTGTTTTCCTTTTTGTAGTGTGAGCACTCCTTGACTCACGAACTCTCTCATTTGTCCCATGATCCAGACCGCATGATAGTAATCCATTAAATCTTGGGAGAGGTGGCTCCACTGGGGTTCCCATAATTCCTTTGGGAGCCCATTTATCGTTGGGTTTTTATCCTCTTTCATTTACATCACTGCAGACCAGATGTCCTCTTTGGTGAGGGGCATCT